CACTGCATTTGTTAAATTAGTAAAACAGTTTTTAAGTGAATCTGGTTTCTCCATTGACTTTGCTTGTCAGAAGGTTACAAAAGGTGATCACATGACCACGGGACCCTACAACCGTCATAAATGTAAGTCAGCTGTCCAGCATCTGACTATACTCACATGACCAATGGGGATGTTACAATGGTCAAAAGAGTTAAATATGGTCACTTTTTTCAGTGCCATTGTACCATTGAACGGTCACTAAGTGAACTGTTTTAACTTGAGGACTATCTTTACTAAGGAAATCTACTTTCACTATGATTATATTCCTCTCTTCTGATACTTTCCAGATTTGCTCCCATGATTCCATCTATGTGTTTTTTTAATATTTGAAAGGACTTGTTTGCATCTCAAAATAATATAGGAGAATCTTTGGCTGTTGGATCTTCCTGCGTCTAGGGAAAATACATTCCCTACTGATTATAACTCATAACTCCTTTTAAATTTACATTATTCTTACATAAGATACACTATTTAAGACACTTCTCAGATGCTTTATGGAAGCATGCAAGATGTTTAGTCCTTACGAGAGTTCATACCTTCTGATTGGTGGTAGGTTTATCTCAAATAAACTGGGTTTGGAGGTATTCACTCTTAGCTTTGATATGTCAGGGCTGTCTACATTTACCAAGTTCCAGTTCAGAGTCTTCTGGAGGCGGCCTGAAAAATGACTGACAGCATGACAGTCAACTGCTGGCAAAACCAATGAAGATGATGAAGTCTCAAGAAGCTCCTGCAGTAAATACAAATAGCAGTTAATTATGAGGTAGATAATTAAAGATCTTAAGGGGGTGATTGCTTTTTATACTGTGATCAGCTTTGATTACAGTCTTTTATAGTTTCCATTATGCAAAATAAATTCTATTACCTTCAATAAGAATTTGACAAGCAATTTCATTACACAAACAACCTAGTAATGAAAATCACCTTGTGGAAAACAACAAGGAAAAAGTCCAATATTGGAAATAAGTAGGTATGAAACTGACTGTTTTTGTACCAACATACCAAGAAGTAAAAAGCACGGACATGTAATATGGTAACAGATGGGATCTTCTGAGAGCTGCTAATGCCCTGCCAGCAAATTCATGCCCATACTCCTACTTGATAACCAAACTTGATGTGAGTGAATGGCTCACATGTGTGAATGATAATATTTTTTTCACACATNCAGAGCCTGGAGGAAGCAGTTTTTGCCCTCCCAAAGGCTCAATGAAAGCCTCTGGAGCCTGGGGAAGGTGAAAATGCACAGCCCCACCCCAATGGTGCATGAGACTGACTAGGCCATTCCCACCATGGCGACGCCCCCCCAGCAACTGGATAGAGAACCCATTGCTGAAATTTTTGAAGCACAACCCTGTTTCAATGCCACTATAACTTCAAACTACCTGTGGTCAGTGTAAGATTGCCCACACCAGTAAAGCTGTTATTCCTCATACTTGTTCTTGGAAAGAAGGGCTATCAACTTTAGTAAATTTGCTGGTTTACCAAAAGATTGGGCAAAGCTCTCAAACAAAGCAGTGTAACTTGAACCAAAAGAAGGGATATTAATTTATATACAAGCTAAAATCTCACAATGGATACCTTTGAAGTATACATTGTTAGTTTTGATTTGTTAGTTTTATTTTTTATATTCTGCTGTTGTTCTTACATTTTATTAGTTTTATTGAGTCTTCCAGAGAGCAGTTAGGCAGATATAACACAAATATGTAAATTAAAATAAAAAACCAAAAATATCATTATCCAGCAGAACAAACAGCCATTTTTCCTTTTATATTTACTGATCATTGCCAAAGTTATTTCTCTTTTATTCTTTGTAGGTAAGTTAATTTAATCACATACCATTTTCTATGAGCTTGTTCTGAGTGGAAAGTTCATCTTTTCTGCATGAAAAATATTGAAAGGAAAACTAAAATATCACAAAAGTAATTAATAGGTAAACATTTTGCATTTAAAAAGCATTTCACTTAAAAAAAAGATATTTAATTTACTTTCAAGAGGAAACATAAAACATATGGTTTCATATTGAAATATTGTAGCAAAGATATCATGTTGTATTTATCATTATCAGTGAATGTTTTGACTAATGATATAGCCCTGAAATAAATAAGGGGATCCATTAAAGGAACATTATTTTGGGTAGAAAGTGCTGACATTTATGAATATAAAAAGTAAGCACAATTTTTAATATGTCTCAGAAGTTAGGCCTGCTTTGTGCAATATTAAAACAACTTTAGTATCATTTAAAATGTCATATGGTGCATTGAGTCTGCAAAATGGAGAATAATCAGCACAGAATAATAGCATAAAGATAAGGATAAATTAACCCTTCGCCTGACAGACAATATTTCAAAATGATATGATGATGATGATGTTGACGACAACTACAATAACAGCAGCAGCAGCAACAACAACAATATGATAGAAATGCACCCAGGTAAACATGCCATGTCTAGTTTGCGTTTTTTATTTACGATTATTTCCTCCCTAAGGGATCAAATGTTTGGGCAGTAATTTGCTCTTTCAGAAAGAAAAGGAAAACTGGTTAAAAACAAACTGACAGCAGAACAGTTTTTATTGAATAAGACAGATAATCAGGTTTTTGCCAGTCTTAATAACTTAGGCTTCAGTTGAATGATTTTTACCTAATAAGATTGCTGACAACACCTATAGAACAGCCCAAAATGAGAGATCATGGCAAAAAAGAAACCACATGAGAGAGAAATTTCTATTTGAGATAAATAGTTCCATTCAATGTGTCCAATGTATCCTATATAAAACCATTTCAGGATTTTTTTAGTGTAAGCTGTTTTTTCAAGTTGGTTCTTTCCAGATATGTTAGGATTTCATGCACAAGTAGTCCTCAACTTACAACCACAATTGAGCCCAAAATTTATGTTGCTAAGTGAGAAATTTGTTAAATGAGTTTTGCCCCATGTTATGACTTTTCTTGCCACATTTGTTAAGTGAATCACTGCATTTGTTAAATTAGTAAAACAGTTTTTAAGTGAATCTGGTTTCTCCATTGACTTTGCTTGTCAGAAGGTTGCAAAAGGTGATCACATGA